TGGCTGCAGCCCTGGAGAGACAACAAACATGTCTTTCTACCCTGGGCTTTATTTTTCTCACGGTCCCTGAAAGGGCTGTGATCAGGTGATATGTGTGGGACTGCTCCCTGTACAGGTGCGGAGCAGGTACCGAGGGGAGGAGAAAATCCGCCCTGTGTGTACTTACTCAAAGCTCTTTCAATAGCCCTCCCAGGATAGCTCTTGGCAAGGCAGCTACCACGTCTCTGGCAGGCTGGAGTGAATCTGAGTGTGAGAAAGTCAGTCATGCAGAGGAAAAGGGGAAAAAAAGCTTCAAATCCTCAGGCAAAATACCTTTTTTCTTCTTCTCTTGCTCTCTCGTTTCTGTAGCTTTAAACCAAACCCACAAACCACTCTGATACCAGGGGACAAAGGGGAGTTTCACTAGAGATGCAGTTATTTGTTTTATGGTTTGAAAGCAAACAGGTGATGCAGTAAGACAGAGAAATCACCCTTCCAGGGGCCGGGGTGGGGAGACAGTGTGGGTGGAGACGAGCACGGGAGCCCCTGGTTCTATTTATTGCACATGACACGGTGAGAACAATTCAGAACGATGCTGGTATCACAGTGGGATCAAAGAGGTGATCTCCTCTGACGAACTGGGCTCCAGTTTCTCTTTGCTTTGGGAGTCGGGGGAAAAGGATGACTGAAAAATAAAGGCTGTTTCTATCTATCTAAGAGCATTCTTCCAAATCCAGATGCTTCTTCCTGAGTTGAGGAGCTTACTGTCCCATTTGAGAAGGGGTGGGGAGAGGACAAAGTTGGGTCCTGTTTTCACTGCCTAGGATAACTTTTCAGTTCCCTAGAAACTGAAAAGTCATCTATGAGCCCACGTGCAAGAAACTCTTCTTGAATGGTTAGAGTGGAAAGCCAGAGAGTTCCTGGAATTTATTTTTATTTATTTATTTATTTTTGGTCCAGACACAAATTCATAGTTTTTTTTGTTTGTTTGTTACTTGAGCCTCTGTCCCCCTATCGAAAACTGTGTGAGTTACTTGCCCATTCTCCCAGTCCAAGCACTCCCAAAGCGGCAATAAACGAGTTGATTAACTATTTGGCCCACGAGGCTGCTTTAGGCACTGCAGTGAGACCCTAACTTGACCATATTCCATTCCCCCATGTACTTTCAGGGCGCCAAATAGTGGGGAACAGAATCAGATGAAAAAGTATCTTAGAATGGGCGGAGGTGGCGCACCCCAATAGTTAATGAAGGCCAACCAGCAGACGGCAGTCAATGTCATGGCAGAGCTTAGCAGGGCAGGCACTGGTTCTGAAAGATTTGGGGGGAACCTGGGAAGGGTTAACATGCTTCCCTGGGAAGGGTTTAGTTCCTCAGAAGAATCTGGGTCAGTGTATTTGGGAAGTTTTTAAAAAGTCAGACACTCAGTAGAAGCATTTTAAGAAGCTTGCAAAGCTTATTGGGGCCATGGCAGAAAGGAGGGTAACTTCACAGGCTCACCACCTTTCACAGAGGATTTTAACCACACAGGAAAACCCCACGTCTTCCAAAAGCAACAGACAATTTTCTGTCATCACCACTTTTCCATCTGTTTAAAATAAGAAAGAAAATTCCTTCCCCATTGGCCCCAGGTTGCAGGTCAACAAACGAGGCATTGTTCACCATTTCTTCAGAACATGACAGGGCACAGCTCACTCTGCAACGTGAGAAAACATTAAAAAAAAAAAATCTCAGAGTAGCCCAAGGGGCAACAGTGAGTAAACCAAGCCTGCAGTGAGGTAAATGTTTGGTTGCAGACTGGAGGACTGTCCTGGAAGGTGGAAATGAGGCTTAGGTTAATACGGTCAGAGCCACGATTCCTTAGTTAAGACTCAGGAACTAAATCTGAGTTCCTGAGTTCCTGGTCGGGAGTTGGGAACACTGCATTAAAGCGGAGGCAGGTTTGAGTTGAACTCAGGTCCCAAGAGTGTGCAGTCAATGTCCAGAGGAGCTGATGTAGACAGATGCCTCTGGGAGTCAGTCTGCACCTGCCTGCTAGGAACCTTCTTCACTAGCTTGAACCGCATAACTGCCCTTTCTGCCTCCAAACCCTGCAATCTGCTCTCCCACTTTTGCCAGAGCCAACTTTCTAAAGGGAAACCCTGATGCCTCTTCTTTGCTCAAGAAATGTTTCATGGCTCTCCATTGTCTAAAGATAAGGTCCAAAGTCCTTTAGCAAGATGTTTAAGGATCTTGTGACATGGCCTCAAGCTGCCTCTTCTAGTCCTTCACATTCCCTAGGCTCCAGACCATGTTCTCTGAATAAAGTCTTCAAGTTCCAGGGTCTTGGCCTTTAATGCCATGGGCACCTGCATGCTCTCCGGCCCACGACTCAGCACATTCCCAATGCCCCAATCCTACCTATTTTTCAAGGTACACAGGCCAATCCCTCCAGGAAATTTTCCAAGGTACCCCAACTTAAAAGTAATTTAATTCTCCTGAAACTCCATAGCATTTTACCTCTATCCAGACATATGTCTCTCTTGTACCTAGGACCCCCCAGAGGAATTTACTGGGACATCCGTAGATGTCAGCTGTACACGTTCATATGTATCTCTAGACTGTTGGCTTCCAGAGGGCAATAACGGTCTTACTGACTGCTGTAAACCCAGGTAGACCAGCAATACTGTTATCCATACAAGTGTGGTTTCATATTTTGTGTCTGTCCTCCTCATCTCTCAGGCCACCACCTAACTCAGAAAATAAAAGAAAAATAAAGGAATGTTCAGTCATCAATCAGAAAATCAGCGTCTGTCTGTCCCTGCAGTTTACTGTCACCTTCTTGCAGGCTGCCACTGTATCTCTCATCGTGGAAATCCCAGGGTTTAACACAGTGTCTGACACTGCGCGTGTGTTCCACAATGAAAGAAAGAAGGGGGCTTGCCCAAGGGTCACCCAGAGTCAGGAACCACTGAATCTCATCCGGGACGAGATCCGGCGAAACCATTGACAACATTATCTCAGTAGGGAGCTGGGAGGCAGGAAGGAATGAAGTGTCTGAGAACCGTGCTTCAGGCCTCCGGGACGCGGGAAGGGCTGAGGGGGCGGGAGGCCACATCAAACAAGACGCTGGGCTCCCGGGCTGCCCGGAGCCGCGAGCCGAGCTCCCAGG